GTTCAATAAAAAAGCTGACTACATCCATGACAGAAAGAGCATGTGCTGAGCACCAGAATAATAAAAGAGAAATTAAAGATACAGACCCAGTCTTTAGCAATCTTTTACCCCTCCAAAATAAAGAAACATGGTATTTGCTGTTAGTGCTGTGGAGTGGATTCTGACTCCCAGCGACCTCGTGGACTGCAGAGCAGGACCCTGCCCATCTTTTTGTGCCATCCTCTCACCTTCCAGGGCTCTATCAGACATGCTCCACCGCTATTCGTGGCCAATTTTTTAGGAAGTGGATGACCAAGTCCTTCCTAGTCTGTCTTAGCCTTGGAAGCTCCACTGAAACCATGGGTGACCCTGCTGGTATTTGAAATCCCAGTGGCACAGCTTTCAGCAACACGCAGCGGCCACAGTGTGACAACCAACAGACGAGTGGTGTGGTTCCCTGACAGGGACATGAACCCAGGCCTTCCCAGGCAGTGAGAGCCCTGAATCTTAACCACAAGACCACCAAGGCTGGATGTGTTTAATTTACTTTTACAAATTTTGCTGACAAATCTATGCAGATTGTATTTGCATTGAAACAGTCATCCCCTAAAATTTTATGTAAGTATGGTAAATTCAAGCCAAATATCATTCCAATTCAATTTAACAATGGAGCAACTAACATGTGCAAAGCTCTATGTTAGGACTTTTAAACAATTCTGACTACAACTCACAGTAATAAATATGGTTTATATGATGATTCAGTACATATTATAAAAGACGTAAGTGTCGTGAAACAATGTTTACTCTTGATATTCGAACTCTATCATTTTCTCTTTTTTTTCTTTTTTGGTGAGGAAGGTTGGCCCTCAACTAACATCTGTTGCCAATCCTCCTCTTTTTGCTTGAGGAAGATTGTCCCTGAGCTAACATCTGTGCCAACCTTCCCCTCTTTTTTACATGTGGGACGCCGCCCGCGACAGCATGGGTTGATGAGCAGTGTGTGGGTCTGTACCAGGGATCTGAACCTGCAAACGCGGCCACTGAAGTGCAGCACGCAAACTTAACCACCATGCCACCGGGCCAGCCCCTTTCTATTCCTTTTCTTTTTCTAATGCTGGTTGTAACCCACTAAATTGATTTTATGACCCTAATGGGTCACACTCTGAAGTCTGAAAAACAGTATTATCTTCTGTAAGCGTGTAAGGGATATAAGGACAAGTAATGTAACAATGTTGTTTGAACACAATGGACATTCTTTACTGCTCAGTTACATGGATTTTGAACTATGGGCATTTCCTCTGCACTGCATCAAGTCCCAAACACTGATGCTAGAACTGGAGTTTGAGCCCAAAAGAGCCATCTGCAGCAAATGTGGGTGGGACTGGAGACCTCACTTCTTTTTGCTTCAGGAAGTAGATAAAGTAGCTTGATATTACTTTAATTCAAAATTAGTTGTCAAAATGACTTCACTACAGCATAAGTTTTGCATATAAGTGCTATTTTGCCTTGTAATTTTAGGTTAAATTTATTTTAAAAACATATCAACTCTAAGGAAAAGCTAACTTCCAAAGCTATTCAGTATTTCATAGTAATGGGTGAGGGCAGGGTTTTTTTGTTCAGAAATATTTCAATCTTGGCCATTTGTTCAAACTATCCCAATAAAATGTTACCACTGCAAAACCACTGACTGGCTGTATGGCACAGCAAGTCAGGATATTCAGCTTTGATTTCTGACAAAAGTTCATGGAAATGATAACAGCTGTTCCCACGAGACTGAATGAAGTTCAATGTTGATACTACTGGTTCAATCACACAAGATATTCAAATATTTGCTGCAAACAACCAGCTGATTAATAAGGCAATGAATATCCACAGGCTTTAAGCACCTAATATTTTCACATATTTGTAAAGCTGTCCAACTAAGCCTTTTCCTGCTACACACACATTTTACCACTTTCAACTGAAATATATCTTAGCAGATTCGAATTCAGGTTGTGCCAAATTGGTGTTTTCTCAACTTCTTTGAAAACACTATTGACTATATTTATTCCATGCAAACTATTCATAGAGGCTAATTCCTCACTTACTTCAAACTCAGCATGGATTCCTCAAATGACAACAACTGAGTAGAATCAGTAACATCTTTCAACTCAAGAGCCAAAGAAAACCACTCAAAATCATTTCCGTGGTTTTATAATCAACCACTGATGCCGCTCCCAAAGTCCTCAATTCTTTGAGCAACTGTTTTCACCAAAAGGCTAACAGTCTTAGACAAGTTTGTTTTCTGTGGACACATTTCTTTGGCTGCTGCATTCAAACATGATTTAATTAACTCAATGTTGGTAAACTGCTTTTCTTGCTTGGCTAACAAATGAGCCACTCAGGAACTTACAACTGTTGTGGCCTCTTTTCATTTTTTATTTTTGTGAAGAAATTCTGCCGTGATAAGATACTCTGTCTTAGATTTTCCAACCTTTCTGACTGCTGCTTTCCTGTGAGTTGGGAATGTTGTCAGGAGAGCTCAGTTTGGCCAGTGTAGATGTGCCTTGTATTCTATCAGTACCTTTCTACTGATAATAGTTGCATAACAAACACTGTGTTGTCACTTAATTCGCTAACAAAATAACCCACACTCTACTTTACCTTAAAAGTATGATATTTGAAATTTACTTTTCTCTTCTTCTCTTATATTGATATGATGCAAAGGCACTATTAATAACAATAATAGTGAAATGTCATGGTACAGCAATATGTATAGTGCTTGAAATGCTATCAAGTTATAAATGTCACTGCAATTTGTAGTGTGCTGAGCAGCAGTGCAAAGGGATGAGAGTAACAGACACAGCATGCTACCCTCTGTCACTTGCCAGTCTCCGTCACTACTAGTCAACTCTGCCACTGTAGCACAAAAGCAATCACAGACAACACATAAATCAATGGGCATGGCTGGGTTCCAATAAAACTTTATGGACACTGAAATTTGAATTTTATGTAATAAAATGTCACATGTCACAAAATAACTTCTTCTGATTTTTTTTCCACTATTTAAAAATGTAGAAACAATTCTTAGCTTGCAGGCTGTACAAAAAAAGGTGGTGGGCCAGATTTGAGCTGCAGGCCGTAGTTTGCCGAAATCTGATTACAAGATAAGAACTCCAAGATCCGTAGTTATTCACCCTCAGAAGCACTAGACTTACATATCTAACCCATTAAATGGATCACATGACAATTCAAACCCAACATATATCAAATTAAACTAATCACTTCCCCTTCACTCTAAATTTTCTCTTCCTCCAATTTTCCCCAACTCATCTCTCTCCTCTAATAACATCCACTCAAACACAGCAAGTTGGGATTATTTTCCTTCCTAAACAGTACCTGAAACCATCCCCCCCCCTTCATCCCTGCCAGGACACGATCACTTTTACGCAAGCCCTCAGCACCTGTCACCTGAATATTTAAGCCTCCTGACTAGTCTCCTGGCCTCTCATTCTGTGCCCTGAAATCCATGGTTCACGCTGCAGCCAGGATGCTCTATGTAAAATGTAAAACTGATCACCGTACTCGCCTTAAAACCCTTCTGGAAATGAGAATAAAATCTGAACTCCTCCGCACGGTCCACGCTCTGGAAGCCTCACTTTACCCCTCTCTCCCCTCGTTACTGAATCCCACTCGCCTTCCTCTCATCCCTCAGACAACCCTAGTCCTTTCCTGCCACGTTCAAACTTCGCTCTGCGAGACTCCTGAGGAATCGTGAGGGAAGGCGGAGGAAGCCCAGAGATCAAGCAGGGCAGTTCCATTTCTATACGCCTAGGCTTTCAGATAAACTATCACTTAAAAAACACAAATACAAGAGTTCCACAACCAAAAAAAGCTTGTTTTTAAAAAACATGTTGTGAAAGTCTAATTTCCTTACTATAACACGTAAGGTGCCACATGATGTGACTCTCATCTCTCCTCCCTCATCCCCAAGCCTCTTTTTCCATCCTTCATCGATACGAATCTAACAAGCTGCTTCACGTCTCCGTGCTTTCCTCACCGAGCCCTCTCCGCCTCTTCTCCCTTGGTTTAGCTAATGTATATTTGTCTTAAAAGACAGTTCTCATTGACTGCATACTTTTGAATAACTGTTGTATTTTCTTCATCTGAAATAATCCGAAAATACTACTTACTTGATTTTGGATTTTATTGTCTAACTCCCCTCATGAGAATTAAGAACAATAAGAAAAGAGATTCTTTGTCTTATTCACTACCGAATCTCCAGAATCTAGAGAACAGTGCTGAGCATACAGCACATGGCCAATAAATATTTACCAAATGAATAAAAAAATGTTTATTAATTTTTATATCCCAGTACATAGTGTAGTGCCTGGCACATAGCAGGAACTCAACACACGCTAAAAAATAAACTTTGAAATAAAAATTGGGGTCAGAAAACAAAGAGCCTTGAATAGCAGGCCAAGGAGTTGTACACTTAACTGTGGTCAATTTCACCTTATTTTCCTATTCACTTGTTCATCTCTTCAATCTCCCACTCACAGTGCTTCTAATGTTTTGACTTTCCTCTAAGTTCTTTCCCACCTTATTTTGTCAAGTAGCTCATGATGTCAAGTAGTTCATGATGTCAAGATAAAATTAGATATGGCCTAGATTTTAAATGTGGCTCTACTTAAAGTAGCACATGGCCACTTTGAAAAATATGTAAAATTTCAAATAGTAACAGGATACTACAAATAAAATATATTGGGAAAACCATGCAAAGAAAAAATCCTAAGCTTCTATAGAAGTTAAATCTTTTGGACTTGGTTTTCACTTGCTTATTAAAAAGCATAAAAAGTATCAATGGAAAGGTACTGAATTATCCAGGAAAAAAATCACATATCAAATAAACATCTTATACTCCAAACTTCAGTGGTTTTCTACATAACATCTACATTTAAACATTCTTAAAAGAAAATAATGTTAAATTCTGCCAACAAAAAATTAATAAGAATACAGTAACAAAATAAAATGATTCTTACTAAGTTATTGTCATCCTGGAAAGCATAATGCAAAGTTGTAATCCATTTATTGTCTCCATTCACTAAAACATCCCTTTCTTCACGAAAACATGCTGTCTGAAAAGGAAAAAAAATGTTTTAGATAGAGAACATAATGTAAAACTAGGAAATATATTATGAAAACAATGAGTTAATAATGTTTATTCTATTTTCTGTTCTGGAAAAGGAAAACATCCAATATTATACAACTTTGCAACAAGTCAAGTTTCAAAGCATCCTGAGAAATTGGACAACTGGAATAGCACATTTAAAAAACATTTTATATTAAAAATTCCAGTACAGTTTAAGAAAATCTGAAAACCACACAGAATTATATAATTAACAACTATGGTCCAACCTACCATCCAGACAACATAAACATCAATGTTTTGCCGTATTCAGTTCTGTTCTTCTTATTTTTTAAGGAAATAAGATACAAGTTGCAGCCCTCCTACTCCTACACCATTCTCCTCCATCCTCCCCTGATACAATGAAGAATCTGAAGCTAGTGTACACTCCTCCCATCATGTGCTTTGATCACACATGTATGTGTCCAAAAACAATAGAACTGTTTTGAAAATTTACATGAATGGTATAATTTTATCCTTTTGCAACTTGATTACTTTTTACTCAAAAATAGCTCTCTTCCTTTTAACTGCTATGGTATTCCATTGTTTGAATACACCAGAATTTATTAATGTAACCCCCTAATCATGAAAACATAGATAATTCACAATTTTGTGTTATTACAACGTTGCAATGAATACATTTGTTCAAATGTACAAGAGTTTCTCTAGGATATACACTTAGAAGTAGAAATGCTAGATATACACATTTTCAACTTTCCCAGAGACAGCCAATTTTCTTTTTTGCCCACATCCTCAACTACACTTAGCATTATTAGACTTTTAAGCGTTTGTCAATATGATGGATGTGAAATAATATCTCATTGTTCTTTTACTTAACATTTTTCTAATTACAGGTGCAGATAAATAGCTTTATATACACTTATTGGGCATCTGAGCTTTCTCTTTGAATAGTTTACTCCCTTTGCCCATTTTTTCTAAATGTCGTTTTCTTACTGATTTGTATAAGTTTTCATTTATTCTGAGAATATATTACCACCATTATAAAGCTATATCTTGGAGAACCTTAGAAATGAGTGGCCAAAAATAAAAAAGAATTTTATATGATACATTATAATTGTATAATACATCATCTTTAAATTTTGAATTTAAAAAACTTCACTATGAGAAAAGGGAACCCTCATACACTGCTGGTGGGAATGCAAACTGGTGCAGCCACTATGGAAAACAGTATGGAGATTCCTCAAAAATCAAAAAAATAGAAATACCATACAACCCAGTTATCCCACTACTGGGTATCTACCCAAACAACTTGAAATCAACAATCCAAAGTAACATATGTACATCTATGTTCACTGCAGCACTATTCACCATAGCCAAGACATGGAAGCAATCCTAGTGCCCAGTGACTGATGATTGGATAAAGAAGATGTGGTGAGTGTGTGTGTGTGTATATACATATATATACATACATGCAATGGAATACTACTCAACCAGAAAAAAAGACAAAATCATCCCATTTGCAACAACATAGATGGACCTGAAAGGTATTAAACTAAGCCAAATAAGTCAGACTGAGAAAGACAAACACCATATGATTTCACTCATATGAGGAAGACAAACTAACACATAGACAAAGAAAACAGTTCAGTGGTTACCAGGGGAAGAGGGGTGAGGGGTGGGCACAGGGGGTGAAGGGGAGCACATATATAGTGACGGACAAGACGTAATGCACAACTGAAATTTCACAATGATGTAAACTACTATGAACTCAATAAAAAAAAAAGAAAAAAAAACACAAAAAACGAAAAAACTCCACTATGCCAGAAAGTTCAAAAAGAACTGAAAGGTAAAGCAGAAACTGCAAGTCTCCCTCAGTCATGCCCCTATACTTGCACTGTGCACTTCTTGTGTTCAGAGGTTGCCACCACTAACTGGTTGTTGAGTTACACTCTCGTGAAATTGCTGTGTACACGTAACCACACACACATCCTATATATTCACATAGTACCCCATCTCCCTATCTTTTCTTGTCTTTATACAAATGAGATCACAGTGCTCTGTAGGATGCTTTTTTCAAGTAACAATATACCTGAACAGCTTTCCATACCAGTACATGGAGACCTACCTAATTTTCTTAATGGCTGTACCATATTCCATATACACTGAAAAATCACCAGACAGTATTCTGTACATGGTAGGTGCTTAGTAATTTATTTACAAGGAAAATTCAATAGCTTATGACACACAAAAAATTAACATTGTTATACAATTACCCTAATTTTTTCCCATGTATTTCCATCAATTTTATTTGATATAATAGAATTTCCAAAGCCATGCATTAAATAGCATCACCAGAGAAAATACTGAAAACAATTAAAGCTTAAACCAAACGAATGGGCAATTTTACCTGTCAATTAGATTATAAAAATCTACAACATGCTTTGGTTCACTTTAGGGGGAAAACAGAATCATTTGACATACTCACCACTAAGTTCTGTTTTAGAATTTTTTTTTTCGTCCTCATTTCTTTTTTTAAAGATTTTATTTTTTTCCTTTTTCTCCCCAAAGCCCCCCGGTACATAGTTATATATTCTTCGTTGTAGGTCCCTCTAGTTGTGGCATGTGGGACGCTGCCTCAGTGTGGTTTGATGAGCAGTGCCATGTCCGCGCCCAGGATTAGAACCAACAAAACACTGGGCCACCTGCAGCGGAGCGCACGAACTTAACCACTCGGCCACGGGGCCAGCCCCTCTGTTTTAGAATTTAACTGACCTGAGGTTATAGTTTGCTGCTGACATTTTAGAGAGGTTGTGAGGCTGTCAGAGCCCAGGAGACTCTTCTCCTGGCTTTATCTTACTATGACAGCTGTTTGGAATTTTATAGACATTCTGCTGGAATCTAATAAACATTTGATTAATGACTCCAAACTAAATAAAGCTCCAAAGACTTTTTGTCAACAGAACAGATTAAATTTTAAGTAGATTCTAATCTATGTTAAACTGTTTAGTGAAAAATTAATTTTTAAAAGTAAAAAATATAAAATAAACTGTTTATGACATAAAACGTCAAACATATATAACAGCCCCCTCCCCCCACGTACCCATCAACCAACTTCACCAATTATTTTATTGTTCAATCTTGTTTCATCTACACCCTCACCTGCTTACCACCACCCTCCTTCCACACATATATATGCTCACACACGTGTGTACACACACACATACAGGATTTGTGTGTGTGTGTATGAGGAAGATTGCCCCTGAGCTAACATCTGTGCCAATCTTCCTCTATTTTATGTGGGATGCCACCACAGCATGGCTTGACAATCAGTGCTAGGTCCGTGCCCAGGGTTCTGGGCCTACGAACCCCAGGCTGCCAAAGCAGTGCCCATGCACTTAACCACTATGCCACCAGTTGGCTCCATACACACATGCTTTTTTTAAAGCAAATCCCAGACATCAAAAGATTTTATCTGTAAATATTTAGATATTAAATTGTCTCTATTAATGCCCCATATAAGGAGTTTAGATGTGAAGTGCAGTCTCTTTTTTTGCTTCACTATGTCACACTGTCCTCAGTTGGTTGTCACAATTCGGGGGAGCGATGTTAATGGCATCTACCGGGAAGAGGCCAGGGATGCTGCCACACATACTACAAAGCACAGGAAAGCCCCAAAAGGAATTATCTGGACCCAAATGTCACTAGTGCCACTGCTGAGACCTTGTTCTAGATTAATATTAACCAAACCACGATGCATGTGTACCATCGGGTTCATAAAGTTGTGCCAAGGATTCAACATGGTTAAAGGCTATAATAATAGCTACTTCAATTACCTTTTTTAAGAAAACTAAAGATTTTTTAGAGTATCCGCCTTTAAAAATAGAATATTTGACTCTAAAAACACAATAAACATGTACGAGGGGGTTACTGGATACCATATAGCTTCTTCAGATTCTGTCACTCACACTCGACTCAACCAAACATTCTGCTTGACATAGCGATGGCTGTGACTGTTATACAGTTGTACATTTTTCATATTCAGTCACATATTGCTTAAATTTTATCCTTAATGGGCTATTGCTCAAAGAGAAAGAGCAACAGTACACCCATGTTAAAACAGAGGTTAATAAGGACCATATATAAATGATAACAATTCTGCAAGCTGTGATATGAATCTCCTCCCCAGATCCATAGGCACATTCATCAGATCGACATTCTTATACAGCACATCAAAACTGCCTGAACACTTGGAAATTAGGTATTAAAATGAGAAAATCCACTCAGATGATATCTACTTTGGCTTTTCATTGATTAGTAATGAAGACTTCTCTCACTTATAAAGTATTAACACAGAGAAATTCCTCCAAATAATAACTGAATCATTCTAACATTTAAGTGGGAAAAGCCAAAATTTTTTATTTTTAAAAAATAGATAAACAAGCAGAATTTCAAATTGCAAAATGCAAGAATCCAAGTATCAGGTTTTATATACCAAGGCATAAATTTACTTTTAAATTTCCAGTTTAATATATATTTCATGGCCAAACATGAGATCTATCATTTTTAAAATTTATTTGTCAAAGAAAATCATTTGATAACATCAACAAGTATGTGAGAAAACATACACATTTACATACTATGAGTGCAAAGATATACTGATCCAACTTTTTTAGAAGACAATTTGGCAACAGCTATCAAAGTTTAAATGTATACTCGCCCCTCCTCCCCAACCGGAGTTCCACTTTCAAGAAGTTTAATCTGGGGAGTAGGTAAATTCTAGAGGCAGCACAATGCGAAAATCCCTTAGTATAAAAACCATCCTTAATACTGCTTCAAGCTCAGTGTACACAAACAGGAGTGTCTCAGGGTAGCCAAAAGCAACAGCTTTGATTAGCAGCATTTCACAGTCCCTTTCATTTTTATTCTACATTACATACACTTCTTAGGTGGCATGACTAGTCCTGATGCACCATTTTCTCTCATTTTGAAATTTCTCTTTGCCAATCACACGTATTTAGATTCAGTGAAATAAGTAAATATATTGACAGCTTGAGTCCACCTCACTAAAGTTCACACTTTGGATAAACTTGAAAAGTACTCCAAAAAACCTGTATAAAGATTTTTACCACAGAATAGTTCAAAGTAGTAAAAATGGGGAAACAATCTAAATGATCATCAGCGTTTTTTTAAAAAACCATCTTACTAAAAAAAAAGCCATTCAGTATAATGAAGCTAATAAAAAGAATGAGATAAATGCATAAATATGGAAATGGAAAAATCTAATATATATTATTTAATGATAAAGGCAATGTGAAAAATAAGTCTTTTGACATGATTCCATTATAGTAAAATTTTCTATTAAAGATAAATAAGAAACTCTTAATAATGATTACTTTGGACAGAAAGACTGGATATCTTCTTTCTCAGAGTCTTCTTGTGTTGGTTTTATATATAATGTCCAGGGTCTTTAGTGTACTTAATGGGAGCGATAGGAAGAAGTACATCTATTTCATCTTGCCCCAGATACAATCTATTAATGCTTTTTAATTCAACAAAATAATATTTATTTTTCAATTATTCCTTGTTTTATCTTCAATTTTGCCACTTCTTCCAATCAGTAATGAAAACTAACCCAGTTATCTTTCCTTTTCACAATTCTTCCCCAATATATCCAACTTCATAAAAAATAACTGCAAACTTTAACTCAATTTTAGAAAGTTCTAACTTTGAAACACTAAACTGACAATTATTATTCCTCCGAAACAATTAGATAATAATTACTATTTCTTAATAAAAGATATGTTGCTCCAGCTGCTGACAGTGCTGTCAGCCCCTCGGGGTTTGCCTCAGCTGCAGAAAGCCCAGTAGCCCAAGGCCATGTCCTTCTGGAGGCGGCACATACCCAATGACTGACTGGGGCAGGTGCCCAAAGGTCAGTCATTTGGCCCAAAGCGGGACAACTCCAAAAGACCACTTCTACCCTGTAGTTCCCTGCTGGATCAACTGAGGCTGGTGGACAGTTTGACTTCTCCCTGACAAATCATGTTTTCTCTCCCTTCCCTCCTACAATTGTTGTTTTCAAAAGAACTCCCTAATAAATATACTCTAAACTCATTCTTAGTGTTCACGACCTGGAAAATCCAACCAGTGACAGTAAAGCAATTCAGCCTTTGAAAAATTCAAAAATAAACACTGAATATCCTGGGCACTGGCACATATGCCAGAGTGACATAAAAGTTTCCAGATACTTTTTAAAACAGGATATTATTACACAGCAATTGCCTCTAGGAGGTAGAGAAGGGCTGGGCCTGGGTGGGGTGTAGTCAGAGTACTTTAGCTTTATCTTTAATGTGCTTTTGTTTGTTTCACAAAGAATATATTCATATTTCACTTGTGCAGTTTTTTTCAGTAGACACAGAGAAAAAAAGACTGAAAGCAAAAACTTGCCAAAAAATTATTGATTAATTCTAGATGATGGAATACAAGTGATTATTAGTTTCTTCCTTGGGTTTTATTATATTTTTCAAAGTTCCCAAAGGAAAGGAATAATGAAGTATTTACTTTCACTACCACCATATCTATCATCATGGGAACCTTTTTGCTTTTCTCTATTTGTTTGTTCCTTTTCAGGTTGCTACAAGTACCAGGAGATAAAGAAAGATTTTTTTTTTAAAGATTGGCACCTGAGCTAACAACTGTTGCCAATCTTCTTTTTCCTTTTTTTTTTTTCCTTTTCTGCTTTTTCTCCCCAAGTCCCCCCAGTACATAGTTGTATATCTGAGTTGTGGTTCCTTATAGTTGTGGCATGTGGGATGCCACCTCAGCGTGGCCTAATGAGTGGTGCCATGTCCAGGCCCAGGATCCGAACTGGCAAAACCCCAGGCCACCAAAGCAGAGTGCGGGAACTTAACCACTGGGCCATGGGGCCGGCCCCAGATTTCTAAAGGCTAATTTCTCATTATCCTCTTACGGATCTTAACTAACCTCCAAGGCTAAGACTTGGCCTACGCAGCAGTACAATCCCTCTGTACGTTAAAATACTGAAAATTTCCACACCAGTAATACTTCTGCTTCCCTGAGGCCCCTCGGTGCCCTACCCCATTCTGCCCCTCACTACTATCCAGCACAGCAGGAGACCTCCAGAAGCCCACCCCAAGCTTATATGTAATGTCAGTTCTGACCCTACCATACCAGCTATTAGATATTTTACACATCACTCCAGCAAATCTTTCCCTCAAATCTAGCACCAATATAAAAACGTTGACAATTCTTATAATACCAGATTTTACTACCATTCTTTAATAATGTATAACCCAAATATAAATCCTACTGCATAATCAGCAATATAAAGAATTCTGAGACGGCATATTCAAAACTCATGCTAACTTTTGCTTAGAGCAGAATACAGATAAACAGAAAATAATATAAACAAGTTATGTCAAATTGAGAACCAATCACTACAAAATTTCTTCCTATAAAAGAAACTGGTTTCCACACATCCTTTTAACATAAATGTATAAGCCCCACAGTACAAGTGTTTCCATTTGGTTTTCAGCCAATATTAAATAAGCATTACAAATTATAACTTTTATCATAACTATATCACCATTGTGAATTGCTGGATTTGTCTCTTAGGCCTGAAAATGTAATGCATCATAGATAAAATGTAACTAAGTGATATTCAAAGATCTACTGACTCTCTGTAATTTTATAGTTCTCTAAAAGTATTTCTAAAATATTATTTAAATATTCCAATAATTAGAATCTTACCTCAGCTCTTTTCAGCATTTCCCATTTATTCAATATTTTCATGGCAAATACCTTATCTGCATTTTTTAGTTTCACCACAGCAACCTAGAAAAGGAAATACAACTTTTAAAATATGGCAAATGATATTTTTTACAGTCATCCATTTTCCTTTTTCCTCTCTGTAAAAAAATAAATACCAAAATTATCAATGATTTCCATGCAGTTCAAATTCTAAGATCCTAAATCAAATAATACTGTCAGTTGAAAAAGTTACATTAGTGAACATGTGCCAAACAAATGTATTTCTGAACATTTATCAGTTGGTAATTATATATTATATTCTCCTTTTCAAGTTTTCTGCCCTAGAATTTAAACTCATCTACTGTCACTAAGAAATTGATCAAAATGTACAACATAAAATAACTAGAGCTTATTAAATAACGCATGCCAAATTCCAACATGATGCTACAGGGAATACCAGCTGCCAAAACAAATATGTTTCGTGGGGATCAAACAATACGAAATAAACTGAATGTGATATTTTTCACACCACATAGTCCTACACACAATACCACAACCCCCAACACATGCATATGTGCACGTGCGCGTGCGCGCGCACACACACACACACACACACACACACACACACACCTCCCCTCCCTAAAGATCATTTAAGGCTAACAGCTCTACAAACTGTTGACTTTACACACTCCTTTCCAACAAAAAAAAGAACAGATATTTCTGTATTTTAGTTATGGATCAAAAACCTGTCAAACACAAATAAATAAGCCCCCATTCTCACCCTCAACAAACTGATTACATTCCTGTTTCTATTTTTCTCTCCAGTTTGACTAAATAATCTCTAAAAACCCTTCGAGCTTGTTGGGGATGCTACAGGACTGAGAGCGACCTACAGAAGAGGAGATAACAGGTTCAGTGAGGATGTTTCCACTACCGGGGGCTGAGGAAGGGGAAGACAAATACTACCCTATTGCTCAGGAGAGAAGAAAGTACATACAGCACATCTTCAAACAGTCCAGAGAGATATTTTCAAGGATAGAGAATAGGTTTAAATTCAAGTGTCATAATTTTTAAAATCTTAATCAAATGTATATATCAAGTGCATTTAAATAAATTTATATTTGGATCAGATTGCAATAAAAGTAATATAACCATATAATTAAAATCAGTGTATAATACTATATAAACTAGAACATTTCTTGGTAAGTGTCATAAATGGTTATAGGACTGTGATTATAGTATTTCATCAACTAAAATGGTCGGAAGAAAGAGGAAATATCTCAATTTCAAATACAATCACTTTAGTCTTTAGCTGCATCTGATCATATCTGGAGAAATGATGGGTCAGTTAAATTGCTCTCCTAGTGGGCTCGTGCTTAAATAAAAGAGTTTGTACAAGACATATAAACAACCTAAATGTCCACCGACAGATGAATGGATAAAGAAAATGTGGTGTGTGTATATGGATATATAATGGAATATTATTCATCTATAAAAAAGAAGGAGATCCCGCTTCTGCGACAACATGGATAAACCTGGAGGACATTATGCTAAGTGAAATAAGCCAGATACAGAAAGACAGTAAATGATCTCACTTATACAAGATCTAAAAAAGTCAGAATCAGAGAAACAGAGAGTAGAACGGTGGTTGCCAGGGACTGGGGAGTGGGAGAAACGAGGAGATGTTGGTCAAAGGGGACAAACTTCCAGTTACAAGATGAGTAAGTTCCAAGGATCTAATGTACAGCATGCTGACGATAGTTAATGATATTGTATTATATACCTGAATGTTGCTGAGAGTAGATCTTAGATGTTCTCACCACAAAAAATAAACCACGAAAACAGGTAATTACATGAGGTGACGGAGGTGTTAACCTTACTGTGGTAATTATTTTGTAATATATACACGTATCAAATCATCACTTTGTACACCTTAAACTTACACAATGTTATATGTCAAGTATATCTCAACAAAGCTGGGGAAAAAATAAACGGGGCTATAATTAAGAGCAAGGAAAAACTTGAGACACTAAGACCTCTGAAAGGCTAAAAACACAAATTTAGCTACTCTGTAGACTCAAATTATATGTTGCATAATTTGGAGTGCAAATGGAGGGAAGGACAGGAGCACTGAGCCAGATATGCCTACGTTTAGGACAGGGAAGACACACAGAAGGCTACCACTTAAGCCCTCTCTTATTATGACTTAGGGAAGAATGGCTGAAAGACTCTAACACTGACATCTTCCCTTCCTCAGGTCATGATGTGAGAAATCCTAGCGCTGCGTGATTCACCAATTTTCTATGCGTATGCGTATATAAGTCTGTAATGATTTACAGTAGTAGTAGTGATAGCAGTATCTACCAACACATAGGGAGTGTGTTCTAAATGCCGGGTACTCTACTAAGAGTTTTATGCAGATCTACAATCCCTTACCTGAAATTCTAAAAGCCAGAAGATTTTTACAACTCATTTGGCAGCATGTACTGACATGAGGCTAATTATAGTTTTCTAGTTTTTTAATCTCACTTAATGTAGACAAACACGCTTTGCTGCAGAAACACTAATGCCTTTGCTTATGAGGTGCTGCTGCAAATGCCAACAGGAGTGCTATATAAAATAGAGTATACGCACTAAGCTATCTTTCTAAAAGCCAAAAAATCCTGGAACCAAAACCACCTCTGGATGATGGAGCTGTGCAGCAGCAATAATCTAGCATTTACTGAACCCTCCGACACTGAGCTAGCATTTTATTGGCTATTCAGGGTGCCGGCAACAGCATGGACTCTGCAGCCAGACCTCTTGGGTTTGAACCCTGGCTCTGTCATTAGCTGTATAACTCTGGGCCAACAACCTTTCAAAGTTTCAGTGTTCTCATCGATTTAACAGAGTTAATAACAGTACTTACCTTATATAATTGTAGTAAAGATTAAAATGATTAATACAAGTATAAAGTGCTTACAACAGGGTCTGGCACTTAGTAAGAGTTCAGCAGGCGGTAGCTGTTACTGTGTCAGGCCTTGTGCGAAGCACGAGTCCAGTCTCTAAACTGGCGCTTGCTCTCCCACTAACACGTGGCTGACATTATACATCCCCGTTTCTTCAAGTTCTTTAACTATGAAATAAGCAACTTTGATCTCTTCAACTTCTAACTTCCTATAATGGTATACCCATGACACATACATATACATAGAAATATCACTAGAAATATCCTCAATTGAAAATACATACAAATAAAAACTAAGCCACAATATTTACCACAGTGTTGTTTCCAGAAGTAAAATATTGGAAATAAGCATTCTGAAAGATGAAATTGACTAAATATATCATAAAATGACAGAAGATTATTCATATTCTCAAAAACGCTGCTAAAGAATACTATTTAATAGGGAAACGTTCACAATAAACTGTTTAAAAGAAATTTACTAAAGTTCGAATGCTGATTATTTTTCTATATATACACATAAAATATATACCTATAAATTTCTATGCCATATGTATACTGAGAAAGACAAGTACCAAAATATTACAAAATCAGGTATTTCTAGGTATACAATTTCTATTTACCATTCTACATTTTCTGTACAGAATATGCAGAATTTGAAGCATTGAATGGGATAGTGTGGAATACCACACCTCATCTTGGTCATGAAATGACCACTAATTATTGAGGTATTGTAATGTGGCTGAAAAGGGCCAAAATGAGACCCATTCAACACATTTCTGTGGTAACCAGGAATGCCATGCTGCTGCAGGATGAAAAACATTCTCAAAGCTCTCTTATAACAGTTTCATGAGCTGACTAGAAACTTCTAGAATGAGGTGGGATGTGGTGAAATAAAGAGTGTCAGTTTAGGAAATATTCTTGAATTATCAACTTGATGACATGATGGAGACAAGAATATGAAGCTGGTGAAGTGATAAAATATAAAATTGATCTTGCTTTTCTCCTTTACCACTACAGATCATTTTTATGTTCATTTCAGTAGAAGAAAACTAGAAAAAAGAGGATTCTCCTAGAACTCTCACTTCAGGTTCTATATTTTTCAAGAACCCTAGCAAATTGACATATAAGAGGGTAGTATGTTAAAATGTTCTTCTTACTTAATTTGATCAAAATGAAAAGTACTTTTAGTGTTGACTGGAAGATTATAAGTTTAACACAGAACAAAGATATATTTTAAAAACACCAAATGTAGAGATGTCTTTAAAGACTTCACATTAAAAGCATTATGGTATTAGAAAAACTGCAAACACTACAGAAAAAATCAGGAGGTGACAAATGTAAAGGAATGAGCTCTTAAACACAATTTAAGCATCATCACTTAAAGCTACAACATACAACTTAGGAAGGATCACACCATATTGAATAGAATTTCAATATCCAAGAACATGTAGTTCTGCAAATCTAGTCTATATTCAATACATCCAGAATTCACCATTCCTCTTCTGGTCTACATCATTCCCACCTACCATTATATCCTGCCTAGCTTGTCCCACCCAGCCTCTCTGTGTCCTCACTCCCCACAGTCCATTCTCAACACAGCAACCAGAGTGATCCTGTTTAAACATAGCTCTGATCATGACACTATTCTACTCCAAAACTTCCAACAGTTTCCAATCTCTCTCCAAGTAACAGTCAAAATCCTTACTGTAACTTATAAGGGTAACGTATTCTGGTCCTCCAACCTCCCAGGTCTCCTGCTAGTCCCCTCCTCGCTCACTCTGCTCCAGACATACTGGTCACCTCGTTCAACCCAACTCAGGACCTCTGCACTTGCTGCTCCCCAGGTCTTGAATAGTCTCCCCTATGTGGCCACATGGTTTGCTCTCTCCCTCCCTCACTGAAATGGCATTCTGCCCTTTCACACTTCATATCCCTTTTCTTTGCTTCCTTTTCCCCTTAGCTCTTATTATTTAACAAACTATATACTCGATTTATGTACTTTGTTTATTGTTTGCCTCACTTACTAAAATATGAGGGCAGAGACTATTTTTTCTCATTTGTTCACTATATGCCCAATGCTTGGGAATCAATAGGTACTCAGTGGATATTTGTGGAATAAATGATGAATGATTTGTAA